CACCTAACTGACACCTCTCCACTCTTGCTGTGTACACCTCATAGCATCTTCACATGACACATATAAATAAGATTTTTCATTTTATCTCTGTGTTTCGTCCCTTAGTTCGTCGTTGGAGTATATTAGGGTGAGGAATGGGGAACCGCAGGAGGAGGAAGGGTGACTATGTGAGTGCCAGGGGTGGGGGGGGGGGAGATGCGCCACCAGATCAACACTCTAGAAGCAATTAACTCCCAAACTCGGTAATCATTGCTAGGAGTGCCAATAACAGTAGGCCTATAGAGCCTACAGTGCCTCTTATTTGTCTGCCAGACACCTCCTCACCTTCTTTTTTTCGGTCTCGTTGCTTTTTTGCTTTTGTTTTTTGTTCGTAACTTTTTTTGTTTGTTTTCATCTTATGGTTTCTCATAGCCGGGACAGGTAGACTGTTAGGCTTATCCAGGTTCCCCTACGCCAACTACTGACTCTACAAAAGGATGCACCCCACAACAGTTGTCTGACTCCCAGGTACCTATTTACTGCTGGGGTGAACAGAGGCTTCAGGTGAAATGAAACATGCCGTCTCTGACTGTCCATTCAACCCCCCGGATGAACTCCAATTTCTCCACTCCCACTCCCTCCCCTCGACCCCAACTACTCTGTCCTCCAACAGAGTAGGAGGTTATCTTGAGATGATTTCGGGGCTTTAGTGTCCCCGCGGCCCGGTCCTTGACCTGGCCTCCACCCCCAGGAAGCAGCCTGTGACAGCTGACTAACACCCAGGTACCTATTTACTGCTAGGTAACAGGGGCATAGGGTGAAAGAAACTCTGCCCATTGTTTCTCGCCGGCGCCTGGGATCGAACCCAGGACCACAGGATCACAAGTCCAGCGTGCTGTCCGCTCGGCCGACCGGCTCCCCGGGTGTGGCAAGTGTGGGGGTGGATTTAAGGATAACCAAAGAAACATTTACACATCGGTAAAAAAAAACAGATTTATTATTATTATTAATAAACGCGAGCAAACCATATGAGAAGCAAAACAGTTTCATAGCGCGTGGAGAAAGAAAAGGTAAAGCGGGGGTCCCCCTTCGAATGTGAAATTACCAAACATTCATGTATTTGAATGTTCAAACATTCAAATCCGTCGAAGTTTCCAGCTGCTGAGAATTACGGGCTATTCATGCCCGTGCCACCTCTTCAGTAGCTCAATCTTCACCAATCAATCGAGGTCTGAGACTGGATGATAAGGAAGAAGAAGTACTAACCTGCATTTCGGATGATTGTACCTTGGAACTTAAGCTATTGGGCTCTTTTTGGACATGTAACCGGAAACAGTATCCTCACATCACGACAACAACATTACATATGTATTTATATATATATTTCTCCGCTACATATTCCCTTGGACAGGGATTTTCATCTCTGTCAAGTATAAAAGACCAGAGAAGAGAATGGTTTCTGTTTGTTGGTGAGGAGGGGCATTTAGACCCCTTGTTAAGCCTACTAATTATATTTTAATGCATTTTGAGTTATAATAGCATTGTGATATGCGTATTATTGAAGCCATTTTATGTAAAGTTTAATTGGATTTCTGCTCGGAGTGAAAACAGTGCGACACTTTTGTGTAGTAAATCAGGAATTATATGTGCAGTGATGCCAGAATGTGGGGTTAGTGGTCCCGGAATGTGGGGTTAGTGACCCCAGAATATGGGGTCAATTACTCCAGGATGTGGGGTCAATAACTCCAGGATGTGGGGTCAGTGACCCCGAGGATGTGGGAACAATGACCTTCTGTACTCAGTTTGCTGGTGTTCCCCTACGTTAATATTGAAAACATTTTATTTCTCTTCTAATTCAATTTCAGAATGACCAGACCACCTCCTTTAGAGCGACCACTCAAGCACAAGACCACCCCCTTCAGGGTGACCACTCACGTTCTGTAGCCCATTACTTAAATCATTGCATTTCCATTAAGTTACTCAAACGACGCGCTGCTCCATTAACAACTTGTTTACAACCCGGCAGTTAAAACTCCCCCATCTACTGGGAGGTTCCAATCCTCTACTCCAAGCTTGCCATCCTCGCCCCGGGAGCGCGCCCAAACCTAATCGAACTCATTCGAATCCCTTCTCTGTCCCTGACAGCCCAGGTATTAAAGCGAAGGTACCAACAAAAATGATAAAAAATGTGTGACGCTGTCTATGGGTTGTGACACCCTGTATCTGGGTGAGAGATTAGGAGAGAGGGTAGAGAAAGTGGTGAGGGAGATATGTGTATGATGGGTGAGAAGGTAGGCACGCTGGATGACAGAGATGAGGCATGGTGGATGTGGCATGAGGGATGAATTAGAGGAGGTGATCACCATCATACCTCTACCAGATGATCATGTAAACAAGATGATGAGTTAAGGACTAACATTTAAATGAACTTCTTCCAAAAGTTATACAAAAAAAGACACATTATATATAGATCGAATAATCAGTAATAAAAAAGCCAACAAAATGTGCAGGTCAGTATTCTCAACAATACTATTGTGTAGATGTCCCTCCATGTGTAGATGTTCCTCCATGTGTAGATGTTCCTCCATGTGTAGATGTTCCTCCATGTGTAGATGTTCCTCCATGTGTAGATGTTCCTCCATGTGTAGATGTTCCTCCATGTGTAGATGTTCCTCCATGTGTAGATGTTCCTCCATGTGTAGATGTTCCTCCATGTGTAGATGTCCCTCCATGTGTAGATGTCCCTCCATGTGTAGATGTTCCTGCATGTGTAGATGTTCCTCCATGTGTAGATGTTCCCTCCATGTGTAGATGTTCCCTCCATGTGTAGATGTTCCCTCCATGTGTAGATGTTCCTCCATGTGTAGATGTCCCTCCATGTGTAGATGTTCCTCCATGTGTAGATGTCCCTCCATGTGTAGATGTTCCTCCATGTGTAGATGTCCCTCCATGTGTAGATGTCCCTCCATGTGTAGATGTTCCCTCCATGTGTAGATGTTCCTCCATGTGTAGATGTTCCTCCATGTGTAGATGTTCCTCCATGTGTAGATGTTCCTCCATGTGTAGATGTTCCCTCCATGTGTAGATGTTCCTCCATGTGTAGATGTTCCTCCATGTGTAGATGTTCCTCCATGTGTAGATGTCCCTCCATGTGTAGATGTTCCCTCCATGTGTAGATGTTCCTCCATGTGTAGATGTTCCTCCATGTGTAGATGTTCCTCCATGTGTAGATGTTCCCTCCATGTGTAGATGTTCCTCCATGTGTAGATGTTCCTCCATGTGTAGATGTTCCTCCATGTGTAGATGTTCCTCCATGTGTAGATGTTCCCTCCATGTGTAGATGTTCCCTCCATGTGTAGATGTTCCTCCATGTGTAGATGTTCCTCCATGTGTAGATGTTCCTCCATGTGTAGATGTTCCTCCATGTGTAGATGTTCCTCCATGTGTAGATGTTCCTCCATGTGTAGATGTTCCTCCATGTGTAGATGTTCCTCCATGTGTAGATGTTCCTCCATGTGTAGATGTTCCCTCCATGTGTAGATGTTCCCTCCATGTGTAGATGTTCCCCCATATGTAGATGTTCCCTCCATGTGTAGTACACAGGACTGGCAAGCACACCCACTCGGAGGAACGCCCCCCCACCCCACCCCAAAAAGGGGGGGGGGTGGTAGGCCCACTCTGTGTACGAAGGGAGGACTCAATATGAAGGAGCAAGTAGTTTCCACCTTGTTTATTAATAGTGGAATATGGCCAGGGGGCAAACTTTCTTTGTGGTGGTTTGCCAGAACTTGTTAGGGGCAACTTTGTTATCTTAGTAATCCTGCCAAGAACCAGGGGAGTGGGGATCCAGATTAAATTCTCTTAGCCTCGTGGAAGAGAATGAAAGGCACTCCAGCGCGCCTTGTAGGCCGTGTGTGTGGACATATATATATAGCCTTATACTGCCCCAAGTTACTTTTTGAAGCTTTATTATTCGACGACGTTTCAGTCCGTCTTGGACCATTATCAAGTCGATGGTGATAAGACGAGGTTGTTGTTCTAGTTTCAGCTACTCAGAACAAGTTCCAAGTAGCACGGGCTATGGTGAGCCCGTAGTAGACTTAGCTGGCACAGGAGCGGTGGGTGGATGAGACGAGGGAGGTAAGGGCATTAAATAAGTATGCAAGAGAGAGAGAGAGATGAGGAGATGGAAATCTTAGAGGAAGATAAGAACAAGGCAAAAGGTACGGAAGATAAGGTGTAATAAAGGATGTAATAATGGGAATAATTAATTTCATCTCCTCCAGCTAATATGGAACATTAAAAGTATAACGCCATCCAGTATTTGCATATTGAGATCCTTGACATTCTGTAAACAAAATCTTCAGAACTTTATAAATAAAGCTGATAGTCCGGTGTGGGGCCTCATTCTGATACTTAAGTGACCCTATACACTCACACAGGAGACACAGCTGCTCTTGTCTACACAAGCTGTGTGGAGAATGCAATCTTGCACACAAGGAGCCGGATTCATCTGACAGTTACGCAAGCACTTACGAACTTGTTCAACTTGTCTCAATCTGTGTTTACATTTATTACCAGTTTATAAGCTCCTAGGCACTAGGAGGTCGTTTAGTACAATAATGACATTTGATTGGGACGTTTCGAACCTCGTAAACTGCTTAATAAATGTAAACAAAGCCGTCAGAGCTTTAGCCAAGATGTACAGACTCGTAAGTCGATGCGTAAATACTTGTTGAAGCCTTGCCAAGGTCTCAAACCCTCCTTGACCTCATGCAGCTTAAGAGACAAAATTTCCGAGCGAAGGGTCGCTGAGTTCAGTCTGCACTCTCTGGGGCATTGTTGTTCGCCTCAGCTGGAAAGAAGTTTTGTTTGGGGAGCAGGAGAAGGGGGAGTTGTACTGAGCGTATTAAAGAGGCAGCCGAGGATGCTGATGGTGAGTAGAAGGCGCTGGTGATTGAGATTGCTGGTGATTGGCGGACAGCAGTTGAGGGGTATGATGCCATGGCAGCAGAGGAGCAGGTCAGCAGGAAAAGGAGGCCATACCAGCAGGGGAAGTGGATGAATCTGTTGAAGTGTAGCTCAGTAAGTGAGCAAGACGCCAGCACAGCAGGAAGGCAAGACTGGTCAACCTACACGCATCAAAACAAACCTGCTGACTCAAGGTTTAAGAGGTTTAAGAGATACAGCAACAGTGGGGCTGGCCAGCAGAGAAACAGGACAGCAGACCAGCAGAAGGGCAGGACAGAAAGGTAGCATAGAGGGAGGGATAATGGAAGCGCAGAAGCAGTATCTGAGCAGAGCTTCAGGAGCGTCAGAATGGTAGAGTGAGTTTGGCGGTAGTGACAGCGCCGAGAACCCCCCACGACGCCCTAATGACTTCGTAATTTACAATTTGTATCAGAAACATTACGGGTTCTGTGATTGGAGTGGCGAGTGGAGGGCGATGGAAGGTGCCAACTGCAATGTGATTGAGAGGTGTGTGTGTGTGTGTGTGTGTGTGTGTGTGTGTGTGTGTGTGTGTGTGTGTGTGTGTGTGTGTGTGTGTGTGTGTGTGTGTGTGTGTGTGTTAGTAGATGCCAAGCGAAGGGCGATAGATAACGGTGTTTCATGGAAATGGACCATTACAGACCAAAGGAAGCTCTGAAGATGGCACCCTGTCCTGGAAATATAGGGAAAGAAGAGGTGATTTTCAAGTGATGGGTGCTGGGGAGGAGAGAGGCGGCCAGGTGAGATGATGATAATGTCAATAACACTTAAAAAAAAGTGACGGGTACCTGGAAAGTTAATGTGTGTGTTAACGGAACCTCTATGACGACTAGAAACCGTACCTGGAATGATCCTTCCAGGAACAGGTAGATGGAGAAAGTGCATCTACCTGGAGACACTTAACCATGGACTGGAGAGCTATACGTAAATATAAAAGAATATTTGAAATTTGGAATTGTATTATGATTTTACAAATGTATTCGGCTTTACAAATTGGCTAATAGGAACTCTCTCTCTGTCTCTGTCTGTCTCTCTCTCTCTCTCTCTCTCTCTCTCTCTCTCTCTCTCTCTCTCTCTCTCTCTCTCTCTCTCTCTCTCTCTCTCTCTCTCTCTCTCTCTCTCTCTCTCTCTCTCTCTCTCTCTCTCTCTCTGTCTCTCTCTCTCTCTCTCTCTCTCTTCGTGTCTGAGAGAGAGAGAGGGAGGTACTAGGAGGGTTACCAGCTGGTAACAGTTGTCCAGCAGGAGCCCATGTGAAGGCGGCCATCATACGACGCTCCAGCTTCCTGTCTTGGCAACACTGCCACAATTATCTGACCTATTTGTGGCTTCCGCCCCGACCCTCCCCCCTCCCCCATCCCCCCTATCCTGCCCTCGCTGCTGCTCAGCGCCTCGTGGTGGTGGTGGTGAGCACGTGGTTGGGTGAGCACGTGGTTGGGTGAGCACGTGGTGGTAGTGGAGAGCACGAACCTATGGTGTGGGAGAACCCAAAGGACAGGTTCGAGACCTCCTTATGGCTCCTACTGAATGGGATTTCTTTGTGTATAGAAATAGTATTCTCGCCGTGACTACTTCTACTACTACTTCTACTACTACTTCTACTACTACTACTACTACTACTACTACTACCACCATTGATGCTGTAACAGAGCAGTGTACTGTGGTTATTATTGAACATGTTCAACCGGAACTTATAATCTTATTGCGCAGCGGCGTTCATGTCGAGTGAACATTGTCTCTGTGTTTATCCTCGGGCACTCTGGCTCTGAGTCCCTGATACTGAAGCTCTGGCTCTTGGCACTCTGGCTCTGAGTCCCTGATACTCAAGCTCTGGCTCTTGGCACTCTGGCTCTGAGTCCCTGATACTCAAGCTCTGGCTCTGAGTGAGATTCTGGCTCTTGGCACTCTGGCTCTGAGTCCCTCATACTGAAGCTCTGACTCTTGGCACTCTGGCTCTGAGTGGGGCTCTGGCTCTGAGTTAGGCTCTGACTCTTGGCACTCTGGCTCTGAGTGGGGCTCTGGCTCTGAGTTAGGCTCTGACTCTTGGCACTCTGGCTCTTGGCACTCTGGCTCTGAGTGGGGCTCTGACTCTTGGCACTCTGGCTCTGAGTGTGGCTCTGACTCTTGGCACTCTAGCTCTGAGTGGGGCTCTGGCTCTGAATGAGGCTCTGACTCTTGGTACTCTGGCTCTGAGTGGGGCTCTGACTCTTGGCACTCTAGCTCTGAGTGAGGCTCTGACTCTTGGCACTCTGGCTCTTGGCACTCTGGCTCTGAGTGAGATTCTGACTCTTGGCACTCTGGCTCTGAGTGGGGCTCTGACTCTTGGCACTCTGGCTCTGAATGAGGCTCTGACTCTTGGCACTCTGGCTCTGAGTGAGATTCTGACTCTTGGCACTCTGGCTCTGAGTGGGGCTCTGACTCTTGGCACTCTGGCTCTGAGTGGGGCTCTGACTCTTGGCACTCTGGCTCTGAGTGGGGCTCTGACTCTTGGCACTCTGACTCTTGGCACTCTGGCTCTGAGTACGGCCAAAACATCTCTTCCACCTAACTCGTCAGTGCCACAACCAACCGCTACCACCATCATCAATCACCATCATCAATCACCATCAACTCCTCAATCAACCACTCCCCCACACCATCACCAACCACCTGTACCACCATACAAAAATAAAACACGACAACCACAAGACACTAACCACCATCACCCCGCAAAAGCAAATATCAACCACTACAACCATTGTACAATTACCAGCAACTGTCATTGTACTGTAATGATATGGAGGATTGAGATTGATTAATGCGTTAGAACGCGGGTACAATTATTATTATTATCAGGTGAAAGGCCAAACCATTACGACTCTATAGCACTGGGAAGGGATCAGGATAAGGATTTGGGATGGGACAGGGGAAAGGAATGGTGCCCAACCACTTGGACGATCGGGGATTGAACGCCGACCTGCATGAAGTGAGACCGTCGCTCTACCGTAATTGGACAACGCGGGTACAAGAAAAATCTGTTTAGGACAGGATAAATGAATCTCATTAATTCGGGTTTGATTTTATGGGATATCAAAATGGTAAAATTTTTATGTCACATATGTTGATTCACATCATATTTTGATATCATAATTTTGTATATCAGCAACGATGATTTTTTTTCCAATCATTCATTCCCCCAAGACAACACAGTGTAATGAAGAGAGAACTAACAAAAGACAAATGCAATGATTAATACATGAGAAAACGTCGTATTTAAAGACAGTGAAGAGAAAAGTACAGACAATTAGAGGAGACATGATCTCCTCATGCAAAATTCTCAGGGGGATTGATAGGAATGATAAAGATAGACTACTAACATAGGTGTGCCCGTACAAGGGAATAGGTGAGACACAAAGTCGTTAAATAAAACCGTTTTGTACACACATAATTAGTTGTGCTTGCGGGGGTGGGGGGGGGTGAGCTTCAGCTGTTTGGTCCCGCCTCTCAACTGTCAATTATGTGGTAGAAATGGTACTAAGCAGCGAGATGGTGGAAGCAGACTCTATTCACAGCTCTGTCGACATGACAGAGCCCAGTAGGTCTGGAAACCCGACTACCACCACCCGAACCACTACTACCACCCGCAACCACTACCACACACACCATCGCCTCCCCCAGAAGGACACAGCCGGCGGAACAGAAAGAAACTTTGCAACACAAGACCTCACAGAGGAAACACCTCGGCCGGTCGCAGAACTACCAGAATTATAGGGGACATAATCCTCACATAGATTCACACGAGAGACAAGAGGAGACCTATCTTGAGGTTATCTTGAGATGATTTCGGGGCTTTAGTGTCCCCGCGGCCCGGTCCTCGACCAGGCCTCCACCCCCAGGAAGCAGCCCGTGACAGCTGACTAACACCCAGGTACCTATTTTACTGCTAGGTAACAGGGGCATAGGGTGATAGAAATTGCAGGAAGACTGCAAGAAACCTAGCAAGAAGACTGCAAGAAACCTAGCAGGAAGACTGGATATATAATCTTCACCCACAGACGAATCTTGAAAAAACAGTTCATGAAACCGGTTTAAGAGTGTGAGACCCACCATGTCATGGCCCAAGTGATAAAGACCGCATACAAAGTGGCAGAAAGGAAGAGAAAAGGAAGATTAGCGTGCCGGAAAGGAGAACTTGGGAGGGGGGGGGGGGAAATGAGGGACTTCCTGGAAGAAGGAGGGCAGGATGGGGTCTCTCCAAAGGAGGCTCAACTCTGAAAGGTTAGGTAGATAGGAGGAGACGGCGTTAAGTCAGTGAGTGACTATGAAGCACTTGCAAGAGATATGAGGACCATGGAGCGGTTGGGATACGAATATGGGTTGAGGGAACGGCCTCTTTCAACCTCTTGGACCATACGGGGTTCGAACGACGGCCAACAGGAGCAGCGAGACGCCATGGAAGAAGCAAAGTGAGAGAGAGAGAGTGAAGTGAGAACCAAATATTTCAAAATATTAGAAAAAAAACCGCTAAGAACATAAGAACAAAGGTAACTGCAGAAGGCCTATTGGCCCATACAAGGCAGCTCCTATTTATAACCACCCCAATCCCACTCATATACATGTCCAACCCGCGCTTGAAACAATCGAGGGACCCCACCTCCACCACGTTACGCGGTAATTGTTTCCACAAATCAACAACCCTGTTACCGCACCAGTATTTACCCAAGTCTTTCCTAAATCTAAACTTATCCAATTTATACCCATTGTTTCGTGTTCGTGCTAAGAATCATAAAATAATCGAAGATACAGTATGGAAGCTTAGGTAACAGCCAGAGCAAAGGAATAGCCGAAGCTTAGACTCGATGAAGCTGAACACAAGAGATCGGAAAGTATACAAGGCTCTCAAGGATAAGGCTTCAGGAAGTCTTCAAACCACAACCCGACCACCCACGGACACGAGAGAACGACTACCGACCAGCTCATGAGACGCTGAGGAACTCAACATAGATTGTGACTTCCTTGGAATCTAAATTTTAACTTTTCGTTCCTAAATAGTCCAATTTGATCGTTCTTTTATTTCGTACTCATATACCAGCTCCTCATATATCACACATCACAACACACCACAGTGCCGCACATCACAATACATCACAGTACCACAAATCACAACACACCACAGTGCCACACATCACAACACACCACAGTGCCACACATCACAATACATCACAGTGCCACACATCACAACACACCACAGTACCACACATCACAACACACCACAGTGCCGCACATCACAATACATCACAGTATCACATATCACAACACACCACAGTGCCACACATCACAACACACCACAGTGCCACACATCACAACACACCACAGTGCCACACATCACAACACACCACAGTGCCGCACATCACAATACATCACAGTATCACATATCACAACACACCACAGTGCCACACATCACAACACACCACAGTGCCACACATCACAACACACCACAGTGCCACACATCACAACACACCACAGTGCCACACATCACAACACACCACAGTGCCACACATCACAACACCACAGTGCCACACATCACAACACACCACATTGCCACACATCACAACACACCACAGTGCCACACAACACAGTGCCACACATCACAACACACCACAGTGCCACACATCACAACACACCACAGTGCCACACATCACAACACACCACAGTGCCACACACCACAGTACCACACATCACAACACACCACAGTGCCACACATCACAACACACCACAGTGCCACACAACACAGTACCACACATCACAACACACCACAGTGCCACACATCACAACACACCACAGTGCCACACATCACAACACACCACAGTGCCACACATCACAACACACCACAGTACCACACATCACAACACACCACAGTGCCACACAACACAGTGCCACACATCACAACACACCACAGTGCCACATATCACAACACACCACAGTGCCACACATCACAATACACCACAGTGCCACACATCACAACACACCACAGTGCCACACATCACAACACATCACAGTGCCACACAACACATCACAGTGCCACACAACACAATACACCACAGTGCCACACATCACAACACACAGTGCCACACAACACAGTGCCACACATCACAACACATCACAGTGCCACACAACACAATACACCACAGTGCCACACATCACAACACACCACAGTGCCACACAACACAGTGCCACACATCACAACACATCACAGTGCCACACAACACAATACACCACAGTGCCACACATCACAACACACAGTGCCACACAACACAGTGCCACACATCACAACACACCACAGTGCCACACATCACAACACATCACAGTGCCACACATCACAACACACCACAGTGCCACACAACACAGTGCCACACATCACAGTGCCACACATCACAATACACCACAGTGCCACACATCACAACACACCACAGTGCCACACATCACAACACACCACAGTGCCACACATCACAACACACCACAGTGCCACACAACACAGTGCCACACATCACACAGTATCACAGTGCATCATAAAATAATTCCTCGCATATTCAGCACCACTGAATTACATGTACCGAAAAAAAATTGAAATAAAAACAGTCATTCTACATTTCAGTCACTTAACCGAGACTGTGTACTATTTAATTAACAGTACTCATCTCGCTATTTAAAAAAAAAGCATATATGATCAACATTTTCATTGTACTGCAATGGATATATATAATATACACATATATATATCCGTTACATTGTATTTAATTCCATGAATTCTCGTCACTACTTTTGATTGTAATTTGATGACATGATGGAAAAAAAAATAATTGCATATGTAATGTTTTTTTTTATTTTTTTGCCATATTCAGAGTTTTAATGAGTTTTGCCGTGTTGGGGACACTCAATCATCGTGACCTTAACAGACCTGGGGACAGGAAGCCGGCGTTTAAAGAGCACAGCCCGACATGACATAGAGCTGAGAGGCGCTATATAGAGTCGGTCTCCTCAGTTCTGGGTTTCTTGGGAGCGTAGTGAAGATGTTCAGATCTGGCGGACACTGTTTTCTTATTGGAGTTCCGTTCCTTGAGTATGTACAGGTATCCATTACCCCATCCTGTGAGTGGTTTTGTACCCCCCGTACCCATGCTGTGGGTGGTAGTGGGTCCCGTACCCATGCTGTGGGTGGTAGTGGGTCCCGTACCCATCCTGTGGGTGGTAGTGGGTCCCGTACCCATCCTGTGGGTGGTAGTGGATCCCGTACCCATCCTGTGGGTGGTAGTGGACCACATACCCATCCTGTGGGTGGTAGTGGACCCCATACCCATCCTGTGGGTGGTAGTGGACCCCATACCCATCCTGTGGGTGGTAGTGGACCACATACCCATCCTGTGGGTGGTAGTAGAAAAGCTTATAAACGCACATCATTGCCTCAAGAACTGAACCCCCCATAATTCTTATTTAGAGTAACGTGAGTAGTAGGATGGTAAAGTACATATGTATATGTGTATGTATATGTGTGTGTG